ATTTTCGTCGTTGTAACCTTTATATGTTTGCCTATAGTTTATCCTCAAAGAGCCAAGAAGCATTTTTTTACGTAACTTGTACCAAAGGAATTACGTGAATAAGTATCTCACTATACTATGAGCAATTCGAATCAGGACGCAAAGAGGAAAAGAAGAAATAAGAAAACAAAGAAAAAGAAAAGAAAAGAAAAAAAGAAAAAAACATGTCCAAAGACAACTGTGGTTTGTTTTACGTATGGTTTTCTTTCTCTCTGCACCTTTATGTTCGTTCATTTTTAATAGTTTCTAAGCTCTTGCTCCGATTCCGTTTTAATAATTTTCATTCTTCTTTCCAGCGTGGTATTTCAAAGTCTTATCACTATATCTTGTAGGCTCGATCGAATCATCGATTTACGAGTTTCTGTGCTGTTGTTTTACTTGTTCGATCTGAGTGTGTACACACACAGTCGATATAATTGATTCTCTGTCCGCAAACTGTTTTGAGTAACGGATACTATAGTATAGTAGCCAATAACAATGAAAAATTGTCGACAATTCGAACTGGTAGAACTTTGTAAAAGGAAATCATGCAGGAACAATCGGCCCGGTGTTTCATTTTGAAGCTCAAGATTTCTATTCTCACGAGATCTTGAGATGATTTTCCATCACGAATCGCGAGAATTGAAGATACTTTTTTTTTTTTTTCTTGAAAATTACTCTTGAAAATTGAAATTTTCTTTTCACAGCGATTCTCTTGAAACTTGGTATACGATTTTTTTTTTTTTTTCTTTTGGGGCCATTTTGTTAAACTTGGAATATTAAGTTTGAACAACGAAATGCCAGGATCGTTTGAATTTTTGTCGTTTAATCCTAACGTTCAACGTTCGATAAAATGGTGAGAAGGAAATCGTATAGTAAGGACACGTTTAGAGGAGCTACGAGAAAGACTCGCGACATGATGTAAAGTTAAAATCTTCAAGCTTTAAAATGAAACTAACCCGAGTTTTCTTTTACGAAGTTGTAGCAGTTTAACTTATCGATAACTTTTTCATTGTCACTGCTGCCTTTCCACTGTATGTATACATACTTCGAATGGA